TTTTTTTTTTATGATATTCAAATTTCAGCAGACAATTTAAATACTAGCCAGTGAATTATAAACAATTTGATTAAAAATCCATTGATGTCTAGTGGTAAGGTCATATGATTAAATCATTAGCATTAAATATTTAATTTGTTAGGCTTAATTAAAACTTGATTATGTCTCGGACTCAATAAAAATAAATAAATAAATAGGCTTGAGCAAGATTTTAAAACTTGGTTCGTGTTCAAGCTCAGCTCAAATTTAATAAAGAAAATGAACAAATATGTGTAAGATGGTGCTTAGCTCAGTTGTGTTCATTTGCAACCCTACCTAGCTGACGCTCACAACTTCTTATAAATAAATTTTAAGCATGCTTGCTTTCATGGAATGGATATTATGCGCTACATGTTTTTCAACTATGTACTATGCAGAGATGGCGGTGAATTATCAACTAGGGATTTGCAGAAAATGGTTCAAGCATTACCACAATACAGCGAGCAAATCGATAAGCTTTCCCTTCATGTCGAGGTTTGTTGTGTTATGTGCCATTTAGTTAGCTAATGTCAAGCATTTTCAAATATTTTATCTATTGTTAAATGGCATTTGTCGGACTCATGGCTATTGTTCTTTCTTGTGAAGTACTTTATCAATTCTTTTACTGTTATAAGCAATAATATTTTTAGAAATTTTATTCATTATATTCATATATATATATATCTATTTTGCTATCATTTGAATGAAAAATTGAGTTGGTTGCGCTTTGGATCACTTAAAGCAATTATTGGATCCTCTGCAAGTCCTGATAAATTTCTTTTATATCACTTTTCAAGTATTTTTTTTATTTGATTGGCAAAAATTCAACTTACTGCGTTGTTGACACAACTTTGAACCGATAGTTGCAAATTTTTTTAGATGCCATGTTTTTATTTGTTTTATCTAAAGGACGATCTTTTGCATTGTGCACTTTTTCGAAATTAGCCAAAAAATGCAAAGCTTGTCAGAAATAAAAAATGTACGGATCACTGTTTTTGTTCAAATTTCTATTTTGCTAAATTTGGTCTGTAAATCGGTAATTTAGGTATAAGCATTCCTTTTGCTTTATTTTAATTCAATATGGGCCAGATATGCGTATAAAATGGTATTTCTTCTGTTTATGTCACATCAATTTCTTTCTTTGTGATAGCGGGTGATGCATGGTTCAATTCTTTTAAATGATGCTATTGTTATTCTGTTAGTTCAATTCTTTTAGATGATGCTATTGTTATGCTGTTAGGATGAAAAGATTGTAAATATTTTTAAATATTTCACATGTGCTATCTTGAACTGGTTCATGCATCATTATCATCACCATCCTTCTCTTTACCTCCTCCCTCTGTAGAGCACACTTGCAAGCATGGATTTGAGGTTTGATAGATTGCCCTAATATAAAATTTTGGGAAATATAGGGTGTATTTGGGGCGGCAGTGCGGTGGCGGGGCAGTGTTGCACCGTAATTTTTTTGTTTTGGCAAAACTTACTTTTTCAAAAAGCTGCAGCCAACAGCTGTGTTTTTCCACTAAACCCGACTTTTTCAAAAACAAAATTCTTTTGTTATAGCCACCGCAGCTTTTGAACAGTAGCTTCTTTCTTAGCAACTTCACGGTTGCTTCTTTAAACATCCGCAGTTGCCCCAAACATATCCTAAGTGTGATGGTTGCTAGAAAGCTGCTGTTCGAATTTTTAAATTTTTTTTTTTTTTTTTTTTTTTTTGCTCGTATCAAACGTTTGATGAACATTTTTCTTCTTTTTTTTTTGGATTTGTAGTAATTATAGTTTAATTATTTCTTTAATGTTAAGAATGAATAATGTTAAGAATTAATCAGTGTCTCTCTCTCTATCTCTCTCCCTAAAGCAAAGAAAGTGAGTTTGCAGGAAGTTCTTTGATTTTATTGCCTATATAACAAAATAACTTGATGCTTTGTTGCCCAACTCAAAATTTAGCGTGCTAATCCATGGCATGTAAATTTCTCATGTATTTTAACCCGTGGATATCTTATCATTTTCATAACAATGCTCTATATAAACTGTGATCTGCACTTGGATTGTATAATTTAAAATAAAATATAAAAGTTATGAAGTTTATTCAGAATAAAGTTGGAAGGACAAGATCATATAACAATGCATGTACATTTTCACTAAAACTTATGCGCATAAAAAGTTTTCAAATATATACTTTTGATGAACTACCTACTTCTTATATGATACACATCATTTAATCAAATTCTCAATAGTGCAAATAAATAATACAAATTACTAAATGATGTATATATATGTAAGACTAAATTAAGTGGAGAAAAGAATGAATGATGGTGTAAAATGGGATGAAAAAAATGGATAGAGAATTTATAGTTAAGCAGGAGGCATCTGACCGTTGCTGCGGTGAGTGATTGCTGGAAGGATTATTTGCTACGGTTGGTCTTGGCGGAGGAGCAGCTTTGCAGGTCCCAAATGTGGCGTTTTGCTGACACAAGCAAAAAATAGTTCTAGAAAATCTAAACATTGGATTGCTGTTGAAAAAATAATAATAATAATTTTTTTAGTTATTGATTAAATGCAAGGAAAACAGAACAATGTGGCAACAGTACTATTAACATAATGAATTAACTTCTAGAGTGCATCATGTTTGGATTCATTTTTATATTATATAATACATCATGGATTACACAAGTTTGTATTGTGCATCATTTACTTCTATGTTCAATGTTGCAATAAGTCTTTTTTTTCTCTTCTTCTTGTTTTGATTTGATTTGATTTTTCTCTTTCTCTACATCTCTTATGATGATTCAATGACGATAATCGAAACACATTTCCTTTCCTACCCCCAAAATAGTAATAAAACTATATCTAAAATAAATTAATTAGATATTTTCTCTTGAAGAAATGCAACTTTATTTATTTATTTTTTTTTTCTAGTTTGTATCTCAAACTTATATAAGGAAAATCTAGAATGACAAAACTAAGCCTAGAAACAAAGGATTATCGAAAACAAAAGATGAATGTTGCTTACAATGCAATAAGCAATATTGTCACATCCACAAACCATGTGCCCATTTGCGATGTCAGTTGCCTCTGGTGCTCCTCCTCCATCGCTTTCCTGAGTCATAAGTAATAAGCACACATTTTAAAACGCAAGGATAATATTTTGGTTCGGAGGAACGAAATTTAAATTAAATGAAGATAAAATTTATGATAATTAAATTTCCTCTGATTTAAGTGCAATATACACGACTAATCAATTAACACTTAAATTGCACTCATCTTAAAAAAAAATATTGAATGATTATATAATCCCATTCTGACCAAATTAACCTAACGTTGCAAGTAGCATATTACATATGCATACCTTGTAGAAGTCTACAGCGATGAAATTAGCCCAACGGTTTCCAGACTGAGCGTGACAAGTATTCAGCATGTCAACCAGAGGAGCTGAATTGTCAGCACAAGCAGCCGTGCTGTTTGGATTATCAGGAAAATAGTTCATGAGAACAAGGGACTTTGAACTTGTTTTCATTGGAGAAGACTCAGCTCTATTAGGGCATGTTCCTGCCTTCAAGCCATTATCACCATCTGCAAAATTTTAAATCACATTTACAGCATAAAAATGAAAAGAAATAATTTTCTAGCAATATATATATATATATATATATTTATAATCAGGTTAAATCCTACCAAATAGTTTTTTGAGCCATATAAATTCTACTATCTTCCTAAATACCATGTTCCACTAACGTTAGGCTAAATAGTAGATTTAATAAATCTTGGAGTAAGCAATACTTGAAAGATTAAGAATACTTCTCATTGTGCATTTTCTTCTCCATTTAAATCATAAATTATGAAAATTTCTGCTAAACAGTTTATTATAATTTATTCAGATTTAACATTTACCATATTAAATAGTTCTTAAGATTTATTACCTTCTGGATTCTGCTTAGTGCAAGCACACTCATAACGGATTTTTTGAAAAAAAAATCTGTTAATACAGCGGTTTTAAATAAAAATATGTTAAATTTGGTTCTTTAATCAAAGCTTGTGTTTTCCACTTACATTGGTTTTCAACCACATAGTTCCACTCATAAGCAATTCCTTCAGAAGCTTCCTTCTTCTTCTTTGAAGTGAAGACCAGCAACCTTTGGTTCTTAGCAATTATATCGCTGAGCAGAGGCCAGTCTCCACCTTTCTTGGGCATTTCTGATACAGGGAACCAGTATTTATAGAGACCGGAAGCATTGAAAACCTTGGTCAGGCCTTGCGGGGAAGCAACGTAATCCTCAATGAATATGGTAATGACTTCTGAAGGATTTGATTCAAGGAAGGTCTGTATCTCTTTAAGCACGTTAATGGCAGGTTGCTGATCAGTTGATTTACAGAATTAGTGTTTAGCTTTGATGGTATTGGAAGTGATGAAGATGAAAGTCATGGATTCGAACTTACAAAGGCGGTGAAATTGTAGCAGTTGCCGCCGAAGGAATGGCATAACCAGATGTCATTCAGAAAATCATACATATCCAACATTAGCCCTCTAACGCCATTCTGCGCTCAGATTTACAAATGCAGTTACTGCACTGTTTATTGCAAAATTATTAAGAAAAGCGTATAAAAAAGATGTAAATTCTTTGTCCTAATAAGCTTAATTAATACTAGTAACAGTAGGATTCCCAAGAGAATGCAGAACTGGAAGGGTAGAGGTGTCTCGAGAATCAAAGTTTGGACCGCCTTAGTGTGTATGGAATTGGCTCTATAAGAAATTTTCTTTAGGGTCTACAAAATTCTCACTGTTCCTTAGATGATAAAACCTTTTGCTCTCTAGAGTTGCTCGAAGAATTTGGTTGGTTTAAGGTGCATGCGATAAGAAGCACATCTTGTTGTGAGCTAAACCTATTATTAAGGTTTCTTGGGTTTGCTATTATTCTTGGAGCATTAGTGTACTTGGGAGGATGTGAAGCCTTCCCTTTTTTGTGTATTATGTTTTATGATTTATTTGGCAGTGGGTTCATTTTCTATCTCCTCTCTCATAAACATAGGCTTGCTTGAAGCCAAATCACTTTGAATCAAGTAGTTGTCGTTGTCAGTGTACTAAAAGTAACTATTAAAATATCCCAGTTGGTCCACCCAAGAGCTCAGTCTCACAAGAATTCGGCTTCCTATGACATCTCCTCACCAGCTTCATCTGGCCTGAACTCTCGCAGTCTTTCCTGCCTAGCTTTTGTCCTGATCAGCCAACAAGTCCTACTTTGGACTTCCATAAAACTCCAAGGATCATTTTGAATCTCTTGAAGCAGATTATTATCATTATGTGCAAGGATCACGCTTCCTCTAACATCCAATACAACCACATCCGCAGCAAAAGGTCCACCACACTATGAATCATATTTCCATCGACTCACCAATCATAAGAAGTGCATTTTTTGAAGGCACACAATCAAACAGCTGACCATATTTTGTCATACAGTTCAACATCCCTTCTCAATGTGTCACATGTCATGCAACCCACACCACGTCAATGCCTCAGAAAGGAGGATGATTATGATGCTAAATGACTACGCATCCCATGTTATCACGCATTCTCAACGACCATGCGAGTGCCACCCCAAATTCCTGAGCTCTATAAATATTCCCTTCCTTCCTGAGGAAGAAGACATGCAATCAAAAAAATCGGAATCATTAATATTATTGAGATATGAACTTTTGAGTGCATGAGAGTCTTGGAATCCCTTCTTTCTCCTCTCTTCCTGGTCAATGATGGAAAATAGGCAAGGCGGAACTTTTTTTTTGTACCTTATACATTATATACTTCATATTGCATACTCCCCTCCATTGTTGATAGGACAAAAGCAAATTGTTAAACCACGTAAACTATGGTCTTCATATGTTATTTCTTCCTGTCAATGAAATGTAAGTGTCCTTCCTTTAGTAGGTTCATTGGTGTACTTCTTCTACTCTCACTTAATCAACATCAAGGTAGACACCGAGAATAGTACAAATATGCATTTATGCGCTTGCTTAGCTTGCTGAAGAACCTCGCTCCCATCCCTTGCTTAGATCATCACCAAACTAACACGCTAAGCCATCACAACTCCTACCACCCTTCGATTGCACTCGCTATTTCGTCCCATTGGCCCATTTGATTCCACGCATCTAACGCATTCTTACACAATAATGCTCCTTCTCACTCATATGGGATTGCATGCATCACGTGCTAGATGGCTCCAAGTGGGGAACGTATGGATACGGTCCTGTGCTCCTCCTCACCACCAGCTCCTCTCCCATCGACGCAACTTCTTCCCCTGCTCAAGATCCTTGGCACTTGTTTTCTTATCATTATCACGCAACACTTGTTGTCTCTCTATCTCCTCAATCCCTATTCTATCGTTGTTACCCCATTCCTTGGTTGCTTTTAGGGCCCCATTCACTCCATTTTTACAATCATATTTGCCTCCAATATGAGGATACTTTAGTTGCTTACATTTCAAAAGATCATCTATTTGCAACTTTTATTTTTTGCAAAATTTGGCAGAACTGGAAGGGTAGAGGTGTCTCGAGAATCAAACTGGAAGGGTAGAGGTGTCTCGAGAAGGAGAAGGATACTTTAGTTGCTTACATTTCAAAAGATCATATATTTGCAACTTTTATTTTTTGCAAAATTTGAGGGTTGTTCTTCTGAATCAAAGATTGCATCCTTCTCCTTCTAGCCAATTTTCTCTTCATTTTATCGAGACTCAGTTCCAACAAATCCTAGGCAATCATTATCAATTCAAGGCAAACCTTATGTTATTTTCCTTGAAAATGAGATCTCTAAACTTGGTCATTTTCTCTATATCTGTTACAGGAAAATTCTACATGGGTCATGCTAACACACATTTCATTCACAAATGTCTATCAAACTTGTGCTCGGTATGTAACTACTCAGTTGGGCTTATTGATCCTCACCATATCATTATAAGATTATCGTCAGATGCTAACTACATTGAACCCTTCTCAGGATATAAATACCATGTTACTAGCTTTTTTTGATGTGTATATGCTCAAGTGATTTTACCATTTTAACACATTTATGGAACCGCCAATCACTCTTATTTGGGCAGCATTTCATCAATATCAATCACATTCAATCAAACGATCTACCTAATATTTATTGGATTATATCCTCAATAAACATTTGCAAGTAGATACTATTATTGCTCATCTCTCAAGGTCTTATGTAGCCAAAGTTTTGATTGAAATGGACATTATCTCGCCTTTTAACATTGAGAAGTGGATTGGATCAAGGTCTTGTGGTTATTGGCAAAGAGTAGCCATTGGCATTCCCGTGTTATTCTTTCTATAATATGTTTAACACAACTTTTTTCATTGTTTCAAGACACGTCCTAATCTGGCGTCACCAAACTTCCAATCGCAAGAGAGAAATTCTAATGCCCACACCCTTCTTATTCGGACAATTGCAGATGCTACTAAACAACAATTTAAATTTGCACTCAAATATTAAAATCAATTGACTTGTCTTAGATCCTGAAATTATTGTCCTCGTCTCCGCTAGCCCTATAATTGGTCAAGAACATTGGTGATAATATTTCTCTACAAACTCATGATTTTAATGAGATCATTATGGGTGAGACATTCTAATCAACAAGGAAATTCAAACTTAATTTATTAGGCAGATATAATTGAAAAAAAAATCAACATTCTCTTATTTTCACCAGGCTTCAAGCAAGATTGTCTAAATAACTTCTTTATTTTTTCATGTATCGTGAATGGTTTATCCTTTAGTTGTTTGATTTATGTTTTTGCTATATTTCTTTTTACTTTGTATTCTAGTAATTTAATGATTATCCTTGATATATTCATATCATTATTTAACTATAATATTTTTTTAAAAAAAGAATAATTAAGAACTCTTATAAAGACTGACCTAAAGCATAACCATATAACTTTTTGAACGATGACAAACTTAGAAATAAAACAATGAGAATTATTAATGACATTGATAATGATAAAAATCTTTTTCCCGAGAATTATTTTTTCTTTAGAATATATATGCAAGAAAATTGATATCTTGTTCCACCTAGAACAAGCACATAATCAAATTTATTAAAAATACACTCTTCTCCTAAGTCACATCTAAAACACCTATTTATAACTATGTTTGGTTATAAGAAGTTCACAAAATATACTAATTAAAATAATATTTCAAAAAAGTAAATCCAACAATAACGACTACAATCATCAATGAAGTAAATATACTACCAAAAGCCTCTATTTGTGGCAATTGGAGAGCCCAAATACAAATAAACTAAATAAAATGGTGCAATAAAAGATGAAATGTTTTTATTGAAAAATAATGCCGAATGTTTTATAAATTTACGGCCACTACAATCAGAAATATCATGGATTTGTAACTCCATTAATACTCTTGTGGAAATTAAATAGTTTGTAGGATGAACCAAGATCCCAAGAAAAAAGTTATAAATAAAAAATTTGATGAACTTGAACAAAAAGAAAATAAATTAACACACATACAACAACATTGGCAATTTTAGTTCGTCCAAAACATATAACCCCTTGTTTAGGGCCTTTCCCAACTAGACTCTAGAAGTGTGGATCAGGCATGTGATAAGAAGATGAAATTAAAACTAAGTGATCAAGATCACAAAATTGACCAAAATAAATAAGATTTAATATAAGATGAAGAATATGATAAACATTAGAAAATGATAATTTAGATGTAACGAAAAACCAAAACTTTTCAAAAGCAAAGAAGTATCATCAACAATCATGTTACACAAATGATTCATATGGGACACATAAATAAAGGATGAAGAATAATGTGACATGATAAGAAATTAAGTGTTTATAACCCACAAAGAGAGAGAGACACCTGAAAAACTTGGGTTTGGTAAACTTGAAGCAGACATATATGATTGCATGAGAAGGAACTTCTAAAGCTAATCAACAAAGGAATGTACCATGGAATTATTACATGACAATGCAACCTTTGATATATGATTCGATATTCGACACATCTATGATATATAAATACACAAGTTATCAAGTATTACAAGCCTTTTGAGATAAAGCATTAAATTTGAAAAATATCTCAAAATAACATTACATGTCTCAAAATTATTCCAACTTTGTTAACCATACATAATATCTTTGTTGTTTGGAGGCATGTACATAGTCTAAAGTACAATTGATAGCTGGAATCTTTAAAATATTTTTTTAAAAATCTTAATATATTTAGATTCAAATCAAACATTATCTTAAGACTTATCATAAAATCAGCCAAACTTTTTCAAAAATTTATGTGAATATTAGGGCTTTTGGAATGCATGTAAAATTTCATTTTTGAGCTCTTAAAGACCGTCTTCTTTTCGCTAACAAGTGTGTTACGAATAAGGTGACGACTTTTCAAATTTTAAAAAGCCTCATGTTTGAATCATATTTAAACCTTAAGAACCTAAATTTTAAAAGTCAAAATTCAAAGTATTTTTAAGCTCAAATGATTCAAATTTTAAATTATTGTATAAGTTCAA